AAGCACCCAATGAGAAATTCGTTTCACTACCGAAAACCAGATGGGTTACCATTCTCTTGGATCCGCACCAGATGGCAGAAATATCATTCCATCAATATTCACATAAGTATCTCTCTACTTTTTCATAATGTAATATATACTTGTCATACAATGATTGCTAAAATGAAACTGTGATTATTACGAAATGGCAATTTTAAAGGAAATGTCAGATTTCTTGAAAATTGCTTAAGGTTTTATTTCCCTGAACTTCGAGTAAAAATATTTACTTTTCATTTAGGTTTTGATTTCCTTGTTTTCATTATGCTTGTTGCACTTATCCTTTCTTTCTCTATTTTTGTTTATGTCTTTCTTCCTCCACGTCCTTAACTTTTCGTCACATTTTTTCTGTTTCCGTTTTCTTTCATTCTTTTCTTCTCCTTTGACATTTTATTGCTTTCATTCATTCTTATTTTTATTTTTAATTGTACACATTATTTTCTTTTATCTGCAATAGCTTCAGAATAAGATTAAATCTATTCTCTTTATATTAGGTTGGTGCAAAAATAATGTCGTTTTTTGACGTTCAACTTAACGTCAAAAAACGACATTATTTTTGCACCAACCTAATATATTAAATTAAAATGTTTAGTGTTTCGTGTTAGTTTGAGCATTAGAGATAATGTTGTGTTTACTGATACGTCGAGTGAAATATGTGCAATGGTTAGTGTTTTGTGTTCAGTTTAAGATACAGATTATTGTTTGTAATAGAATTAATTTTGACAGTGATAGTATTTGGTTTAGTTTAGGCATATGTTAAATGTCGACAGGGTTAATTTATCGGTTATTTTTTGTGTTAATTTTAGCATTTTTATGGCTACATTTAAGGTTAGAGAAAGGATTAGGATTGTTAATGATGGTTTTAACGTTTGTGTTACGATTAGATTTAATTTTTACAGAATAATGGTTTGGGAAAATAGAGGTTTAGTATTATGATAAAGGGCTCTGGTAATAGTTAGGATTATAGTTGAACGTCAAGGTCGGTGCAGAGGATTAGATTTAAAGTTAAGATTTGGATTAATACAGGGAATAGGGAAGAGATAAGATTAATATAATTTATAGGATTAGAGTAGGTTTAAGGCAGAGGGTCAAGCTTAGGTTTAATGTTAAAGAGAATGTTACTGTTAGGGCTCGTTTTAATCGCACGGTTAAATTATATGTACATTAGGTTGAGTTAAGTATAATTTCAGTGTTATTGTTGATTTAGATTTGTGGTTAGGTCTATTATTAGGATATGTCTTAGTTTAGTGTTCGTAATGACAGTATTATGATTTGGATTACTCTATGATTAGGTTTGTAGGTTAGTTGTTGCGTAAAGTTTATAAATTTTAGAAAGGTAATGTTAGAAATTTTAAGATGTTGGTTACTTATGGCATAGGGTTAGTGTTAGTTTAGGTTAGGTTAGAGTTACGCTTGAGTGTTTAGGATTTTAGTGTTTTGCGGTGTTAGGATTGAGTTAGATTTAGATTGGAAAGGTAGTATTAGAGGTTTGGGGTAATGACAGAGCGTTAGATTTATTGTTAACCTTATTGTGTTTTGGAGAGTTAGTTTTAGTATTAGGTCTAGATTTAAGCTAGGAGCTTAGAATTTAAGTTTATTAATCAGAATAATAGTTAATGTTAGGGAAGATTTTTAGGGCTAAGTTAGAAATTTTAGGGCAAATGGTTAGAATTTAGGGTTAAAAACAGAGAGTAGTATTAGCATTATGTTTAAGCCTAGGATTAGAAGTAGGCTCGATTAGTGTTAAGTTTAATGTTTGGCGCTGCTTTTATAGTTGCGACTCTGGGTAAGGATATAATATTAGGTCTATAATTAGTGCTATAGACTAAGGTTAGGATTAGGTTTTCGGTTAAAATTTATTGATTAGGATATGATTTAGAACTATAGAAGATACTTAGGGTTAGTTTTAGGGTAGAAGTTTTTCGTTTAGAGTTAGTAAAAGTTCAGTGTATAATTTATGTTAGATAAGAATTAGCTTGGATTAGGTTTATTAGTCAGTGTGGAGGCCTGAGTTTAGGTTTAAGATAGAGTACTAGTGTTTGTGATGGTTACGAAGAAGTTTAGTTTTAGGGTTTGGTTGGGTTATCGTTTGATTAGATTAGGGTTAGCGTAGGAAGTTGTAATTAAATTTATGACTAGATTAATAGGTTTAGTGTTAACGATAGGGTTATGTTCATGATAGAGTTCATGATAGGGTTAATGTGCGTTAATGTTGGAGAAAATAAAGCTTTAAATATAAGGTAACCTGTAGAAAAACTTGAAATCAAACATGTAAGGAATTTCAATTTTGTGTTAGTGGGAGGTTATGTCTTGTACCCTTTTCAAATACTGACGTTTTCTGAAATAATGAAAATAAAAAAAGACATTTACATGCAATTCCTTTTATTTCCTTTTGTTAGTTCTATACGCGTAAAGACAATCCTAAGTGAGGTTATTACTTGCCTTTACATAGGAAAATAATGTAGGAGTCATTCCAGGCGATTCTTTCTTCAGGTCTTTTGTCATAGCATGAGAATAAAATGACATTGTCAACAATCAAAATTGTCTTCTTCGTTTTGCGATTTCTTAAACATGACGTCCTTTCGAATTTCCCTCTGCATAAATAACTCCAGTGTATTTGTCTATGCTAAGGGTTAGTTCCTATGTCAGGCTGTTAATAGGCATCGTATTTTGTAAAAGTCTTTTCCGCTTGACGACAATAGCAGCTGCGATAATCTGAAAAAGCGCAAGTTAAAACAGTTATCCGCTTGACATGCAAAATGCTTATGGGCAAGCTATAATCTTTAGTTTAGGACTGGAATAGTAGATATGCATTTTTAATACCTTTTTATAATGTTTCTTGGTGATGCTAACCTAAGGAGAATAATATTTCCTTTTGGGACTTTTAGAATTTGGTATTCACAGAAGTTGAATATAAAAAGGCTATAAATACTGTCTGGTTATTTGGTCAAGTTTTTGAAAGTGGATGTGACTGAGAATATTTCAAACAATCCCATCTATGTGTGTGTGTGTGTGTGTGTGTTGACAATAAATGTTAAAAAATACTGAAGTTACCAATCAAGTTATGCTGATAATATTTTAATAAAATACTCCTGTTTACGGATTAATTTCCTTGTGTTAATGGCGTATAGGAATTGTTCCCAGTTCATGTTAGTTTTTAAGGTTTGGGGCTTTCAACTAGCTTCAGTCATTATCAAAAGGAAAAACTTACATGAAATTCAAAGTCATGTGGCAATTTGCATCTTCTGAAGGATTTTGAATTTTACGTTTAAAATGTTTGTGATGTCGCATGATATTTTTCTTTTTAAAACTTTGGTTTCACACAAACTTTGGTATCACACAAACGTGTGGATTCTGAGAATTTAAATAAAATCAGAAATGATTTTGTTGATTATTGACTGTTTACATTTAATATGAAGAGCTTGTAAAATTTGTAATCTTTATTTACAATTTGTTTAACTGGATATTTTATTGCTATTCACGAGCTAGGTTATTGTATTTTTCTTCTTTTTTTTTCTCTGTATCATGTGTTGACGTATAGAAATTTTGGTAGCAATTATAGCAATGGAATCTACAAGAAAGAGTTGTTGTATATCTTTTATATTGTTTTATTTTTTATTTTCTGACTTACAATCTCTAATAGAGCATATAAGTTAATAAACAACAGTTGTCGAATTTATAGCGAATTTGATTGGAATGCGATTAATTCATTAATGAATAATAAATTAAGTTAATTATTAATGTTTATTAGATTGTATGCTTTAATTTATAAATATTTTTTTCATATTTATTCCATATTGTTTATAATTTGAAGGCATCTGATTACGATAAATTAAATCAATGTTTTCTTCCGCATAAGTGTTATTTATCTTCCATAAATGAAAAGTTGATTATTCGTTGGCATTATGATATAGAAAGAAATTATTAGTTTAATGTTAGAGCTTTGTAGAAAATTGTTGTAAAGATTAATGGGCCTCATCGATGTAAAATAGTCAGAAAAATATTTCTGACTATTTTACGTCGATGAGGCCATTCGGTTTTGTAGGTAAGTTGGCAGGTGTTTTTAGAAGTACTAAACACCATCACTATTGGAGTTAAGAACACAGTGGAAAAAGATTCTTTTAATATTTCTTCCAAGATAATTATTTAAAGGTAAGAGAATTGCAATCTAATATTTATTTTATTTTTAATATTAAAGTGAAAATATTATCAATATATCGGATATATATCGTTTTATCTATTTCGTTAAATATTTTATTTTCTCTGTGAGCCATATATATATATATATATATATATATATATATATATATATATATATATATGTATGTATATACAGAAAAACTACCACTCTATAAAGTAGACAATGGGCTTATGCTTACACAAAGGGGACGCAATCATAAGCATGCGGTTAGTTATACTCAAAATACAACGAACTACTTAGAATCCACATATTTTAGATATTCTGATAGAGTCCCACTGTTCAGGACACAGGTAGACACAAGACTTCACATACACTCAATCGACTACACCGAGAAGCAATTGCCGTTAGCGTATACAATCAACACAATCACGCTCTACAGACTCTGTGGACATATATTTCTCTAACAAGGTTCGTATGTCCCCTTGTCTTCTTTCCTATTAGTTCACATGGTTCGTTTGATTTTTGCTTGTTTCTTTGTTTAGTACAACTAAAGGGCAAAGAATATGGCTGTGGGGAGAGTGGATGAAGGTAAAACTAGAGGGCGAAAACCCCGAGTATTTAGGATGGGAAAAAAAGCGTAAATTCGCTTGGCTAGAGATATTCGACAGAAAAGCGAAACGAACCAAACGTGGCGCAAAATGTGATTTCTTCCGCTATTTTCCCTGATTCTAATCTTGGCTTTTAAATCTTTTCCACCTTCTCGTCGCAAAGTTCCTTTTGCTTTTCATTTTTAATTTAATTTTTTGGTGTCTTGTAAGTGTGTATGCGTGCTGCTTCTATCTTTTCTATTTTTCATGTTTCTATACGTCGCATGTTTTTTTCTTCTTTGTTCATTCACTTAAACATTCATTCCATTGCTCATTTACTCAATTATTCATCCGCTCCAATATTTCGTTTTCTCTCGTGCTTCCTGACTTTCAGCTCTTTCATAATCTGTCTGTCTGTTCGAGTTAGTTCGTATCTTTTACTCGAATGTTTTTTTCTAGCTACATTATCGTCTCGCCATTACTCATCCCCACTTACACGCGCGCACACACACACACGTGTGTGTATTGTAAACGTAATTATTTAATCAACATTTTTAAAATAACTACGATAAAATATATGCAAGTCTGTGTATTGTTTGAAGTCATTCAAATAAATAATTCACATTAAGTTCCCCATTTTCTTCTTTTGATCAATGACCCTTCTGCCTTTCTTTCTGTTTATATGTCTCTGTTCTGAAGTTAATTTAAAAAGCAATGTAGGATGAAATAAATGAATTTTATTGGACTATGATACACGCCTGAAGATGGAAAGAAATGTGAAGATATTTGATTAGTTCAAAGAAATATGTGAATATCTTAAACAGCGTTAATCAGTTTTATTTTTCAACAATAATATTCACATATCCCAGTCTATGTACGTATAATATATTTCTCAGGATGAGGACCAACATAAATATATAAAAGCCGATTTTAATTCATAGTTCATGTGCACTAAGCAAATAAAATATACTATATATATATATATATATATATATATATATATATATATATATATATATATAATGTGTGTGTGTGTGTGCGTGTGTGTGTGTACGTGTGTGTGTGTACGTGTGTGTACACAACGCGCGCAACAAATGAGATTTGTCTCCGTGTAATTTTCAGTTTTATTTCAATTATTGAATTTCTTTTAACCACATACTAATTTTGTGCCAATTTAAAATTTCTTTACAAATGCCATCATAATAATAAAAAGATAAGTGATTTTCAATAAATAAGAGATTTCCAGTTAGGCCTAAACCATTACGCGCAAAAAATATTGCAAAATAATTAGTATGCAAAAAAGTAACGTATTTATTTTTTCACGTTTGACGAAATATTATTTGAACATTTTCAATATAATATTTATTTAATCATACTTATGTGTTGCGATATAAGATACAGATTTGCAGTGTATGCAGACTCGATTTTATTTGTCTAACTCTTCATAAACACCTGTTCCATTATTTAGATGTCTTCAAAAGTTTGGATGGAATATGTACAAATCATCCAGCAAAATATTTTAAATAATACTAGTGTAGATAATTAAAATTATATAATATATATATATATATATATATATATATATATATATATATATATATATATATATATATATATGTATAGGACCGCGGTAACACCAGGAACATGTACAAGAGCATTAAACAAGCAACTATAAAAACCAACAAAGAAGTCAGCGCCCTAGAAATTGAAGATGGGGAAGTTAATTATGAACAAAGTCAAACAGGTGGAACGATGGGTAGACCAGTCCCTAGAACTTTACTCAAGAGAAAATTTCGTCACTACAGAAGCGCTTGATGATATTGAGACTTTGAACGTACGGAAGTAGTGCTTAACAAAGTCATTGATGCTCTAGTTTGTGGAAAAGCAGCGGGTGAAGACGTCATACGAGTCATAGTGACACCACTCCATTGTCTCCTGAGGCTCTGCTGGAGAGAAGGCAAGGCTCTTTAGGACATGCGCAATGACAAGATAATTACTAAAAACTATTGCTACTTCAGTGACTGAAATAACTACTGGTGTATCTCCCTGTTAAGCATTCTTTGAAAAGCATTTACCCAAGTGATTCCACATCCTTGCTAATCAGAATGCCAATGTATATTTTGGGCTAAGAGATTCACAGTTGAGATGATCTTCTCTTTAAATAACATTATTTATAATTCTCGATGCCATTGTGAAATTGCATCTAAAACTGATTATTAAAAAAAAAAATTATATTGACCAGTAGTAGAAGAATTACGAGATGTGTGTTCCATTTTACAGGAAAATTACCATTAATGATTGAAGTTTGAAACAAAATTAATTTGTATTATTTGTGTTAGTCACAGATGGTTTGTGAATCAAGACAACAAGGTGATACTGAAATCGGCATATTTTCAAAAATCTGATCTAACGACAAAGCATAAGATTTTTTTCCAAGCCTCTTTTAGGTAAGCCTTTTTATTTTTTACAATGATAACCATCCGGTACAAGGCCCAAAAGTCACTCGAGGTAGAGATTTACAGAGTAAGAGGCAGAGTTTATGGGAATATGTGGAGAAGATAATGGTTGAGCTTAGACTTGAACAGACCAAGATTGTAGTGATCTAGGAAGCACCCCCATAGAAGCCGGTTCCATAAAGAAGCTGTTTAAGAGAAGAAGCTGCTTAAGTGGGGCATAATCTCACCAACGGAATGTGTGCGTGCCAAGGTGGGTCATAGCTGTGAAGGTCAGAACTGGTGGAACTAATGAAGGAAATAAACAATAGTGCAGCGAGAGGCTGGTAACGTTTCGTCTGTGGGAGAGGAGTTGTAGGATGGAAAATAACTCATCACCCACAAGGATGCGGTGACGCTTTTGGACTTTATCAAGATTGGAAAGTGAAAACTGAGCAGTTCCTGGCCATATATACCAGCAGTATTCCATTTTCGGTCTGATCTGCCACTTGATAGCAGGAAGAGTCAGGTGCTTACTGGAGTAGTACCGACATTTCTACAGAATCTTACAAATGAGATATCGTATACAAATATGCTTTATAAACTCACATGTTAAGTCACGGGATATGCGTTCAGTATTGTGTAGGAATCCCTCTAGATAGGCATGGCATCGTCTCCACAAGAATATTGCAAAAGAGTAAGAACCCCCCTCCAATCAGTTAAGCCACCTGTTTGCTATGGCTGGCGACCCGTAATGCCTAAGGAAGGGAACCTGGTGGCTGAGAATTCCATAACCTGGGTGTATAAGTGGTCATGTGATAGGAAACTCTCCTCTTTTGTCTTTACTTGGGCTAGACGTGCGATCGGAGTGGCCCGATCTGATCAATCTACTGATCATGTCAAGCCTTAGCTCTTATATAATTAAACCCAACAATGTCCCACAAACTGATCACATGATGATCTAACACCCAACCCTTCATGAAAAGGATTAGAAGGTGGTGACTGGGGGTCAATCGAGTCGAGAAGAAAAAGAAACTCTGACCACTGTTTCTTTTTATACCAATCTGCAAGAAACTTTATCTCAAAATACTTGGCCCAACCTTCCATGGATCATTTAGAACATCTATAGCAGCAATTTTTTGATACATTATAGAATATTTTTATATAAAGACACTGGCACTGTTTTACAAATTCTCTTTTAATTTGAATATTTTATATTATAAGTATATAAAATGAGAATAAATATTTTCTTGTTATAAATTATTATTCATTGTTCGTTAAACTGCCATATATGAAATAATCCGTTATTTTCATTAATAAAGAATTTGAATTACACTTGCTTAAATTTCTTTGTGAAATTTTCATTACATTTAAAGGATTTAAAATGAAGTTTTCACATAAGTCGTGTCTGATGGCACTATGTGGAGATGAAGTAATAGCAAATGTCTTCAATACTCCAATGTTCTATCTGACTTTAATAATATTTTTGTTTCCTGATTTTATTTCTTATATTTCTGATCTTTTGGCAAGGATAATCAAAACTGCTGATTTTAAAAATGCCATTTTCATATTACACATTTTTTAGATAGCTGATGAATATTTTGCACTCCTTCAATTTCGCTCTGTAATCTCATAAAACAGCTAATATTCTTCAGTGACAATATTTTTTTGACGATGGCTATATCTACTCCCCTGTTCTAATTTCGGTGTTCAAATACATTTTTAATCTCATTTTACTGCATTCATAACATTAATATTTGTGTTTATCATCACTTTTTATCTACACAGCATTTTAGCCACGTCAATTTTCCTGTTAAACTAATTAGTTCTTGTGTACTTTTAGGCATTTGGCTGTTCCCAACATTTGTCTGGTTGTTATATATTTTGAAATGTGAAAATCTAACTTTACCAAATAACAGAAATCACATCACTTGATAACATTTAACAACATCAACAACTAAAATAGCACATGTAACTTGAAAAGAAAATAATAGTATCGTCAAGATGGTAATGATCCACACTACTTTAGAAAAGGGTTAGGAAGAAAGCCCACATCCCGACCTAATAATTAAAAGAACTATAACATTTAATAGACTTGAGAAACCCATTTTCCTGAAAAGAGTTTATAAATTTCAGCCAACTATTAACTTTTCGGTTAATGAATGCGAAATGTTTCTTGATATGGAAATAGTTATCCTCACTGTTAGTATTATCATCCTCGAACAATTAAGGAAATGAAAGATTCATAATAAATAACATTTATGTTAACATCAAAATAAATGAAAGGAAATAAGTCTTTTACAAGTGTATTGTTATATTAATCTCTTTTGAATTGACTTTCTAATGATGAGAAAGAGACACGGCAAATATTAACAAAGATCGAAAAATGAATAAGCATCAAACTTGTACTCTGTTTTTATTAATACTTAATAGTTATCAAAACCTGTCATATTAACAGTGTTCCTAATTCTAACAATAAAATTAGAAACAAGCTATTTCGTTGCACAAAAAAAGATTTATTGACACTTTTGTCGCACATTCACATTTCTTGAATTAGCCTTCCGCTTTTTACCCAATTACATACGCATAAATAAAAGTGATAACATTCTTATATTGTGCTTTTCATGCTAATTTTTAAAATTATTTTTCTTTATCTTCTTTCATCTCTCATGCCTAACGTCTTCTCTTCAGTAATTTTTTTTTTGTCTTTCTATCTTTCATTCTCCTTTCCTTTCTGAATGGTTTATGAACCAATCAGGTAATTCCACGTGTATGCCAGGAATGACGGAACCAATTACCACAGGGTGCCTGAGCCCACACACAAAGCTGAGAATCGGTACTTCTTGTAACCCGACCAGTAAATAAAAAAAAATCTAAAAAACCCTGATCCAACCAATGTTCCCAGCCGCACAAAACTGGGAAGAAAGAATCATTTTTTGTCTATTTTAGCGTGTTGTCTTTTTCTATACTCAGGAATCTCTTCAACCTTTCTAAAAAAAAATTATTTCTCATTCTATCCCTCTCTTCTATTCTTTTTTTCGATATCGTATCCGTCTTAATTTCTTTTCTCAATTATTTTATTATTTATTCTTACTCTGCTTATATTCACGTTTTTATCTTTTTATCTACATTTGAACATTCACTGAAATGCTCCTTTTCCCCTCTCTATCATTCAAACGCATTCTCACAATATAAATCAACTACTAAAATGACTCTGTATATATCCATTGGCTTATTTTATTGTCTCCATTTTCCGTTTTTTATACAGTTTCTCTCTCTCCCTGCATATCTCACAATTCTTATTTACCATTCTTTCACTTATGATTTCTTCCTTTCTTTCTGTCTGTCTGCCTGTCTGTCTGCCTGTCTGTCTGTCTGTTTCCCTCTCTCTCTCTCTCTCTCTCTCCATTACGCCTTCTTGTTGCATCTCCATTCATCTATTATCTAACGTTTTCCTTCCTTTTATTTTCTTTTTCCTCGAAATCATTTTCTCTTCCCTTTCATCTTCTTCCGTTTTATTTTTACCTTATTTCTTCTCCTAACGAAATATCACTATTTACTTTATCTTCTTCTCGTCTTCACCAAATTATTTTCTCATGAATCATTCTATTCTCATTAAATTAAATGAAATATCATTGATATATTTGTACATTACTCATGTTAATCCGCTCATGAAAATGGAACAAATATGATAATCCACAAAACTACTTTAAATATATTATCTTAGAATAACTATTGGAAGTATTTTATTCTTCTTAATTTACCATCTGCTCTTTTTGCTTTCCGCTGTTTCCGCTAAAAGGAAAGAATTTCAAGTTGCAAAAATATAACTTACATCTCCTATACTACATCTTCTCCTTGATATTTTGAAATATAAATGTTTACTGGAATTTAAAGATTGATTTGCTGAATGATGGCAATAAATATCTGCGGTTGGAAATTGTTTCTTTCTACGCAGATGTAAACAAATGACAGTCATTTGTATGAAATATCCAGAATTTTGCAGTGTCATAAATACACACATCAAGTTGGAATCTTTAAAATAGATCGGAACGCTGATTTGATAGATAAAAAGAAATGTTTAATAACTTTAAAGCTTAAAGGTTAAACCATGGTGGAAATTGCAAAAAAAGTTTTTCGTTTAAAATAATGGCTAATTCTGATGCATATTTAATGAGGTTCAATGAATCGTTTATGTTGCTGGTTTGTGTTCTGCATGAAGAGAAGTTACCAAAAATCCGTTTTTGTCAATTTAGAAAATATTTCTACATTGGAACTGCGATAATTTGCCGAAAATCAAATGATTTTTATCTCTAAACAAAGTGAAAAAATTCGTGAAACCTATCTCTTGGCCTCCTTTAAGATACCCATCAATGTCCAGACATATAAATCAAAAGCTGGGTAGCTAAAGGCTGTGCCTTACAGATTGTGACGTCAACAAAGTAAAGATGCCGGTGGCGTGAGGTTTGAGAATAGAATTCTAATAGGATGAAGTGATGGGCTCATTTGGAGTTTCAGATATTAAGATGGCAGCTTAAACATACATTGACATATTACAGGCATACGTTGAACAACAGACCAAGAAGAAACCAAACATTTTCAGAAAGATTATTTTTATGCAAAACAATGTTCTATTACATTCGGCGAATAAAATCGATTTCAAAGACGCTCATTGGATGAAGTGACTAGTTTTTTCACCCAACAAATAAAAATTCTGGGTCATTCTGAAGAGGAAAGTTTACATTGGAAAGTGGGCATTTACCAGTAACTATCACTTTTTTAATTGTTTTTCTGGATACTCTGCAATCGATTTTATATAAATAAATACAACAGCTTATAATAAATAACTGAATGGTTTGTACTAGTTTCCGTGCATACACCATACATCTTATACTAATGTATTTTTCTAATGTCATTTAATGACAATTTTCGATTTTTGCTCAAAATCTTTGTTTTCTAACATGACGCACGGTTATAATTTTTAATTCCAACGTTGGAGTTTCAATAATATTGCTAGTAATTTGAAACTTGGGAAATCTGATCGCATTCATAAAACTATAAAACATTTTATCAGGTCAATGAAGTCTACTATAAGTTATTCGTATTAGGTGAAACATTCTACCCATTAATAGTGCAAATACTTTCGTGAATTTTTTCATTATTTTTAAAATAAAAAATCGAAAATGACTGATAATGAAATGATGCAAAAGACTAAATGCCTTCATTTACGTTTTCTACTACGAATAAGGAAATGGATAAAAAACAACAATGTGTGTTCTTGTCTAAAATAAAGCGCAAAAATAGAAATACAAAATTAACATTATCTAATTCTTCTGTCGTCGGAATAAAAGTGATAAAGAGACGTGGTATGGATTTAATGATGTGCTGAAATTATTGCGCGGGTATATTGAGGCACGATTCCCGGATATCTATAACTGTATTTTGCCGGGGTTGGCTTCAGAGAACTTAGTGAGCTCAATAACATAATCCACTCATGCTCAGTGACACTTAAGACTGCAAAGCGCATGGCCATTCAATTGCCGGAGATCAGTCTGTTGTACCTGAAATTAGGAACAGACTGTCGCTATAAGGTAACATGGCCAGCATAATGGAATGCAAATAATGTTCATGACAGATGACAGTTTCCCTTGTGGTACTCCAATGAAACAACTTTCATTAAGCAACACTAAATTGCAAAAGGCATTGCTGACTATCTGGATCAATGGTAACTTTTTATTATGCAATAATAACTTGTCGAAAAAAGGTGATATGGTGCCGGTGTTCTATGGTAAGGCATAGTGACTGATGGCCTGGTGTCAATAATGGTACCTTCTTTGATCAACTCATACGAAATTCTACGGAATACAATGCAGTGGTTTTACTCATGGATTGAATGGCACCAACGTTGAATTGGGTTAGAATTTTATGCAGGATTCACATTCATGTTCTTGTATTACTTGTGTGCATCCGCTACTCTATCACTATTTCCATAGAAAATGTTCAGATGCTCTTTAGTTCCACCAGTTCAAATCTGTACAGTTAGGACACGCTGTGCTACTTCCAAATAGTCGGGAAACCCTTATTTCCTTCTTGTTCGAAATATAAAGCACGCAGCTTTTCCCCCAAGTACTGCTACTTTGTAAAACTGACTCATTCGTGAGTCTTCTCTAAACACTACAATCTCAACCACTTGAAATCAGGCAACAATTATTATCTTTCCCACTCATCCTTGTAATCTCCATTTTCTACCACATCGTCTTTCATTTGTATCTTTTCATTTATCATTACCGTTTTAACATTAACCCTTGAGTGTCTCTCGAGGCCTGTTTTGGGTGGAATTTAGTATTATAAATATATTGCTACGTCAGCTACAATGAAAGTTGGTTCACTATGTGGTTCTAGACAATTTTTTCACTCCAAAATCTATCTTACATATTTATAAGTCTACCAGTCGTCCTTGCTTTGATTATTGCTGTCATATCTGGTCCGTTGCTCCTGCTATGTATTTAGAGATTCTTGATAATATCCAAAGAATCTGCAATGTTATTCGTCCTGACCTTTCGTCCTGACCTTTAGTCACTTTCCCACCTCTGTTTAATAAATAAACGGATCGTTTGCTCAAATACAAGTACCACTAAAAATAGCGTTTAATGTGATAATATATATATATATATATATATATATATATATATATATATATATATATATATATATATATATATATACGTACACACATATACATTTTTTTGTGAGCATGTAGATATTGGTGGAAAACAGAATTAAACTGAGAATGTATGCAGAAGCTACCAAAAACAATTAAAATGATTTCCATATAATAAAATGCCAGTAGCCACTTTGCTATTGAAATCTCTCGATAATAAGAAATGGCATTATTTCATACAAGTGAAATTTCTCGAAGTTAAATTTGGATAGATTTTTATTTAGAATTCAATTATTTAAAAATATTAAATTTCAAAAGTTAATTCTCCTTTTTTGCTTCCATGCTCATGGGATTTACACGGTAGTTTCAACGTTCTATTTTTCAATCTAATAAACTAATCATCATCATAATCAGCATTATCAATACTAAAGCATTATCTAACGTGCATATAATTATCGTTGTTATTATAATCGTAACTAACATTTCGGTAACCATGATCAGCATGACTTTCATTAACAGATAATTGCCAACTTTTTGTCACCTAGCAGTTTCTATCTGAAGAGAAAGAAAGAAAACGTTAAATCGTCGAATAAATCTAAAATTTATAAAACTCTCAAGCAGACTTACATCATATGATAAACACACATGTGACAATATTTTATATAAAATATCTTTAATCAGAAATTAACATTTAAACTCGACAGAGGCATTAAATGATTAACATTATTATTATAAAATCAATCTTTATGTTGCGTTTAATGGTATCGTCATTAGCTGATCCTACCTTAAACGTTCAAATTATTTACTTCTTTGCTCTGATTTCTCGCTGTAAATAAAATTAATTTCCGGCAATACCGAAAACTGAATCGGTTGATCAGGTTTAAATAAAAAAGGAAACCAAAAATCTGAATATATTAATCAAGAAGTAAGAACACTTAATAACAGAATGAGAATTCATCCACATCATAAAAGTTATTGTGGTCCAAATCGTCTATGTAAGATTTCGTGATAAAAAAGAAATGAAACAAAAGTTATTCATATAGTTCATTTAAGAATCTCAATCTACTGACTGAACTTAGTTTTAAAAATTATCTCTTTTCTGAACCAGCAAAATATTGTCGTTCTTCATTATTATCTTGTGATAGAAGATTCTTGTCGCTAGTCACTAGACAAATATACAATAGCGCCCAAGAAAAAGAAATGGTAATTAAAATATATAAAAATCCAATTCTACTGATTCGATAGTGATAAGAATTGCATAAAACTTATTCTTCAATTTGGTAAGTTTACATTGAAAAAAAAAACAAGGATAAAGAATGCTGTAGATCAAAAGTGTGTTATTAAAACCATATACTCTGTGTTCTATGTAGGCCGGTGTCATCTCCATTCTACCTTATTGGATTTGGCATGAATCTATGTGATCTATCGAATTTTGAAAACAACCACGACGTCAAGGGCTCAATACTTCGCGAGGCTCAGTTAACGTAGAAGACGTTCAGATTTTTGGTTCCAGTGCTTTTTCAACAACTGTTAGTTCTAATATTAAGACCAAACCCGAAATTCGGAAGAACAATTATTCATGCTTGATACTCTCCTTGTCCTATTTTACGGTAAATTATCAACTCTTCATAATAATCAACAGTGAGCCATACTTACCTTGCTACCTCGCCGAACTTGAGACAACTATATTAGTAAAGCAAAAATCATATACATCTCATTTATTAGCGGGAAACAACAATCTCTTGCTGTTAGGCGTAACTGACAGTGTTAGTTTCCTGCTATCCGCT